AAAGAAAAGGAAAGAAAACGAAATAAGACAATGATGATGTCGAAAATTGCCAACACATTCTCAAATTCAAAACTGAAAATGAAAAAGAAATCAAAATCTAGGCGCGTCACGGAATTGACTTACTTGAACATCGCTGAAGATTCGTCAAAAACAGCGCGTCCCTCGGTAGCGGTGATACCACTTAGCAAGCAGGAATCGCTCCACTCCTCTACAACATGCGTCAGATACCTGCAGAAAATTTTGAATGCTAAAATCCGAAAGAAAAAATTTAAAAAACAGAAAATAACAATAATTGTAGAAAAACAAAAACGCATTTAGGAGGCAAAGACCAACCAGATGGCATTCATGACGTTCGGAAAGGGTTCACTCCAGGGCGATTCAGATTGCCTCGCTATTTGAGCGAGTCGTGTGCGAAAGTCATCCGTAAGTAGCAGCTGCAGATCCAGAAAACGCTTCTGAGAAAAAACGGTACTGAAAATTGCTTTTGGATTTTTTTAACTCTGATTTACCTGAGCTATGTCGTCAGGTAGCAGTCTCGCGCGACTTTGTTGTGACTGCAGCATCGACACGAAGGCGTCAGCACAGTTACACACGAGGAACTATAGCATACAATACGATAATATCTGTTTAGAGACAAAAAAAGAAACTCACCTCGTCTGCGTCTTCCATTGAACGAAATCGATTTTGCCACCGATCTGGTGCCGACAAAATCTCATCCATACGATCCACACAGCACTCGTTTTCTATCTAGACTTCTACTCCTTCAAGCAGCTATACGCAAAAACCAGACTTCTAATCGATTACCTCTATCCATCGGTCCAGTACATTACGATCGCAGAAGAGTGAAAGTATGTTGGAAGAATACCCGTCAGGATCCATAGCTAAAACAAAAGCATAACGATGGACCTTCTCCTCACAAAAAATAGTGTCGCCCCCAAAAAAAGAGTACTACTCAAGGAGTCAGGAAACATTTAATCACTGATGAATAAAATTAATGCTTGAAACAGAAAAAAGAAGCTAAATATGAACTGAACAATAGAAGGAACAAAAAAGCAAGCCTACCCCGCAATTGCGTTTCATATAGAATGCATTCATCAATGAGATTTGAAAACAGCAACACATCACCCGTCACCTGCAATACTTGAGCGTGATAGACTTTATCGAATCTATGGGTAATAAGTGGAATACTGAAAAGTAGCCCGATTTACCTTTTCTTGTCTTAGCAGCGACTTTGTTTTCGATATGGGCAGCTCGGATAAGTATTTCATGAACATAGATGTAGCTGAACGCGATAGGCTCTGAAAAAATGACGTACAAACAATCAAACAACGACTGGCTTAATCACTTACATGCTCCTTGATCAGTTTGCCTTGCACTGCTTCGAAAAACGGCAGATTTACTTGTATCCAGTTGAGTGTTTGACTCAGATACCTGAGAAAAAAGGTTGAAAATTGACAATGCAGAGAACCAAATATACCGTGCTTAAAAACAAAGAAGTGGCAGTGTATAAAATCAAAAAAAAAATTTGTAAGATTATATCACCACACTTACCACTGCGGCTTCCTTATGTCATTTGTTTTCCGATCGCCATAAAAATGGAAGGCAAATCTGGTTCCGATGGGTTCCAACAGCACTCGACAAGCCTCATCATATCTAGAGAATGTACGATCAAAAAAAAGTTTAGTGCAAGAATGGTGCAAAAACATAATTTGTAACAGAATAATCCCTGAATTCAAACTTCCCCAGCGATTATAGGTACTAAATTCAACAGAAATAAGGCGAAATACATCTCAGATGGCTCATCACAAGATATATTCAAAAATAGATGAATAATCAAAAAACATGCAAACAAAGACTAACCCAGTGTTTGGCTCCATAAATTCGCTGATAGAATATATCAAACTCAGAATAT